CTAACTACAAAAAAAAGGCAACATACCGTACACAAAAAAAGCAATTCAATCATGCATATGTAAAACATACGCTATTTATGGTCAGAAGTTGACGTTTTCAAATAGGAATGTACCACATTCATACCACATTTTGGATGGAGCACAGCATAGGTTAATTTTAGGGAATAGGATTGTTCAGATGGTTTGTTTCAATTAGAGATGCACCGATCGATCGGCCAGGGATCGGAATCGGCCGATTTTCCTCATGATCGGCCCAGATCGGTGATCGACCGATCAGTCTCACTTCTTTCCGATTTCGAGCCACAAACACACACACACACACATGCAATGCTCATACATACACACACACGCACACACGCACGCACAAACATACTCAATACTCATACATAAACACACGCACGCACAAACAAACAAACACACATACACAATTGTTGTGCTGGTGTTTCTTGGAATAGTCCGAGCTGAGCAGAACTATAGGCGATGAAACGTAAGTACTGCCGTTCACTTTGTACATGTTTAAATGGCCGGTCCTTCAGCATTTATGTTAACCCTTTCCTCTCTGGTGTATTGATTTAAAAAACAAGCTCAGAACATGGATCTTGAGTGTTTTATCTGTCAAATGATATATAGTTTATGATTGTTGATTGAATATTGTTTTAAAACAAAGGTAATAAAAAGCACAGACACGCCTAAACACGCCCTTCGGGTTAACAGGTTAAATGTATTATTATTTAGATTTTTATTAGTAGTATTTTTGACAATAATGATAAGCCAGTAATTATTTTTTATGACTAATGACTAGTTATGACTACTAAACTATAAATGGCCAATGTTAAAAATATTTAAAAATAGATATATTTTTTAATTCTAAAAAAATTATATCTACTGGAAATCTACTGCTAATTTAGCATGATGACAAAAAAACAAAACAAAACAAAAAATGTAAAAAATAGGTGCAAATAAGTGTCCACAATTAAACATGCAATACTGGCCAATGCTGATACATTTTTTTTTTAAACATACGTTTTGTAGCCAATACATGATATGTTCCTGGTCTATCATGTATGCCTAAAAAGAATCATTCAAAAGAACGATTTGTGTGGGATTCACACATCACTAGTTCAAATTAAGGCCACAATCTCCTACCACATTTTTCATATTGCCAGCTTACGATCTATTAAATGTCATTTGAAAAATGCTATAATGATACTTTAGATTGGCCTAGCGTAGGTTAGCACATTTAAAGTTGGTATGTGTCCGTTAAAAGACTGCTGTTATTTCTGCCATTTCTCTGACTGAGAAAACACTCAGGCATGTCTTTTTCCTCTGTCATCTTCATGCTTTTGTGTGGTAACTGTCTAAAATGGTCCATTCTCCTCCAGGAATTGAGGTTTCCTTTCCCTGATGGGTAAGAGGAAGGCTAATTTAACTAGGCCGAAATCTGATCACAGGCTGAGGGAAAACACTTAAAAGCAGGGCACTTTTAGGTCACTCGGGGAGTATAATTACGGTTTAGGGGTCACGGCAGAGATGCAGGGAGCGGGGCATGAGAAAACTAAGGACAGACCTTTTTCAGTATTTACAAAAGCTCCCAGTGTGCGCGACTGAATTTGATGAAATGCATCTGTTTGAGTTGTCATGTGGGTAAAAGGACGGTGCTGCTTTGTCTTGAGTGTTCAGAAGATAATAGTGTGTGTGTTTCTTTATTTTCCCTGTCTCTCTGGATGAGAAGCTTTAATTGTGTGCTGTTTCTTTCTGAACGTTTAGGGAAAAGATCCGTGATTATGGTTGAATCCTAAGTGTCTTCCTATCTGCTGGATACTCTGCTGTCAGTTTGACCCTGTGTGTGTGTGTGTGTGTTATTTTGGTCTTTTTTATCACATAGTACTAAAAAAAACTTTGGAGGAATTACTTTGAAACAATTTTCATTCAGAAATTTCTATAGTAAATTTCACAAATAATTACAAAGAAATGACAAATTACACATACAATTTTGAAGTAGAAAGAAAAAAATTCTCCAGTATTTGTTTTATTTACAACTTTGAAAAATAATTTTTACAGTGTCTCTATTTTGATCTAATCTACTCTTCTGGATAAAATCAGGCCGCTATTGTCACTAATAAGCAGGACAAAAGCAAAGAGGTGGATATAAATTTCCCATAGAACATCTCTCCTGAGCGGGTTTCTGTCTGTCTTGGGTAATATATCTATTCATCCTAGCTACAATGACTGTCCTAGTTCTGGATAATGACTAACATTGGTTTGTTCCTAAGTGGCTTTACACACATTAGACACACAATAACAACAGTGTTGTTACACCACATCAAATGTAATACAGTGTAATACAAAATCCTCCAGTGTTGGGGAAGCTACTGTTTTTTTTTTTTTTTTTTGGACTGTTAACTGTTAACTATTATTTACTAATAGACCTACCAATCTCTGTGTAAAAAAATCAATTATGGTCTCTCTCCTGTAATTTGGCTCCAGATTTCAGGTGATTTATTTTATTTTGGGCCCCCTTTACAAAATAGTGGATTACTCAGTAAATATACATTGATGTCATTTAATATTTTGGCTTTCATTAATCATTACTATTTATGTTTGACTTTCTTCAGAAAAAAATATTTTAAAATCAAACACAGATTTGACACAGATGACCCTTTAAAGTGCAGTACAGTTTGGAACTGGCAGGAAAATACAGGGAAATATTTAGAAATATTTTAGACAATTTGTATTTCATTTATTCTGTTTAATGCAAGCATTTCCACTTCAAATGATGCATCGCTGTTAGACATCAAATACTTGATCCATGTAAATAAGCCGAATGAAAGAGGGCGCTCTCTGTTACCATGACGATGTAATTGATTACACTCCTCACCTCAGCTTGACCGTCCTCGTTATGATGCTTGACCTCAAGAATCAATCACTGCTCATTCACTTTCACTGCAGTCCGCCACACCTTACCCTCATCGACCAGAGACGTTCACTGCACCACACTCAGGAAAGCAGCTCGTTATTTCACCATAGAATACATGTATTTAAAAATCCCTCAAACAATTAAAACATAGAAAGCAAAAAATGTAATTTAGGATTACACTGCCGTTCAAAAGTTAAAGGTTGGTAAGATTTTTTATTGTTTTTAAAAGAAGTTTCTTATGTTCACCGAGGCTGCATTTATTTGATCACAAATACAGTAAAAGCAGTAATATTTCAAAATGTTATTACAATTTAAAATAAGTTTTCTATTGTAATATATTTTAAAATGTAATTTATTCCTGTGATGCAAAGCTGAATTTTCAGCATCATTACTCCAGTCTTCAGTGTCACATGCGAGATAAAGACCACCTTTTGTGTATATGCTACTGTTCAACATACAGTCTTATGTGTGTGAGTAAACTTGGCAGGCTTTGACTGGAGGGTCTTGTATGATCTAGTGCAGTGGGCTCGATCTTTGAAACTTGCAGAGCGAGTTTGTTTTTGAGTGTGAGCTTAAGTTAAAGGGGGGATGGAGAGGTGCAGAGGGGGTTTGTGGACCATCCGTCACCCTTCTCACCACCCCGACACACATTCTTGGTTGTTGTCAGCGCCTCTCAAAAAGCTGTCAGACCTCCCACATACTCTGTTCCTCTCTATACATGTGCGTGTGTGTGTGTTTGCATGCATTTGTGTATATATATACATTCTGTATGTGTGTGTGTGTGTGTGAAAGGACAGCTCAACAGTAAACCTTTAGAGACCAGCATCAGCAAATGTGATTTTAGTGAATGAGGCAGGGAAAAAGCATTGAAGTATTAAAAGAATGCATAAAAGTTTGCACTTGTTGTCTTCAATGAAGACATCATTGTTCAGATGAAAGGAAATGGGAAAGATTTGTGAGAAACTATGTCAGCCAATCATGAGCAGAACAGATCCTTAGTTAATCTACAGGATTCCTATAGCAATTATAATATATTAGAATGATATTATAATAATTATTACAATAATAATTTCGAACCATTTCTAAAGAATTTCATGCACACACACACACAGAAATTCTGAAAAATTATTTATGATTATTTGTATATTTTAGGATTTTTGATTATTTTATTTTAGAATTTCAATTTACTATGTAGAATCATATTGAATTCTTTAGGGACTTTTCAGGATTCTTTAGGATTGGTTACAAATGATGATTATTCTAATATAAGTATGTATTATAATTCCAGAAGGAATTCTTAAGAATATCTTTTTATTCTATTAGGATTGTTTAGGATTATTTTCAAATTATGATTCAAATTAAATTTAATTGAACTGAATAATAAAATTCCAACTGGAATGCTAATAATTTCAACACACAGAAATTCTGAAAAATTATTTATGATTATTTGTATATTTTAGGATTTTTGATTATTTTATTTTAGAATTTCAATTTACTATGTAGAATCATATTGAATTCTTTAGGGACTTTTCAGGATTCTTTAGGATTGGTTACAAATGATGATTATTCTAATATAAGTATGTATTATAATTCCAGAAGGAATTCTTAAGAATATCTTTTTATTCTATTAGGATTGTTTAGGATTATTTGCAAATTATGATTCAAATTAAATTTAATTGAACTGAATAATAAAATTCCAACTGGAATGCTAATAATTTCAAATAATTCTATAATTCCAATATATTATAATTCCGATATAAAATCTTAAGAGTATTCTTTTTTATTCCATTAGGATCTTTTAGGATTATTTGCAAATTAGGATTCAAAATGAATAAAATGTAATTTAAAAAACAGGAATGCTGTACTTTTTTTTTTTTTTTTTTTTTTAGGTAAAGCAGTCATAATCTGATATGTCTGTGTCTCGGCATTTGACACTAAGCGTGACACGTAGAGAGAGGTATATCTAATGCATTTCGCTGCTAAAATTATCCCGCCACACTGCTGACTTGATTACAGGCGTGAATGTGGCAGGCCGTCCTCAGGGCTTCAGTGTTTATGAGCTCTCTTCACCTGCAAGAGCAGTATGGCTCTGAACGTGACGATGTACATCCCAGAGAGACGCCGCAGCAGGTCGTCCTGTGAGCACTACAAATCGGTAAGACCTCACTGGTGTGGAGAGAAGGCTGTTCCTGCTGATATCTGTAGGCAGGCAGCAGGAGGGTATATTTAGTCTCATGCAGCAGGTATAGATACGGTCCAGACTTACTGCGCAATTTACCGCAAGCTGAGCTGAAGCTCTTTTAAGATGTTTGTTGTGGGTTTATGAGGTTAAGATTATTTTTTGAGTTTAGGACAATAGAGATCGCACCTTCACGCAGGTCAGCGAAATGACAAATTGCAAAAGTATATTTACTTATTTAAGACTGGTCAAATTCAAATGTTCCGTGTCATTTCAGTGGCATAATATTTGTATATTTACTTTCTTAGTTAATATTTCCGGTCTCACTGATGAATGTTATTCCAAAGAAAAACAAACGATTGTCTTCAAAACCTTCAAGTAAATCCTCAAGTTAAACTGCAATATGATTGAATCAACAAGAATACATTGGATTTTACATGAAAGGAACGCTTAGGGGTCAGATCAGGTAGAAATCAAGTGCATGTTTACTTTCTACAGAGAGAGACATTGACTATTTGTGTCTCTTGAAGGCATTATTCATAATTCTTATTTATTTACTTGTTCATTTTTTTTCTTCAGTTGCTTTTCCTACAATATTTTGAGAACATGAATGCCAGTATTAAAGATTTTGCTGGTGAACAGCATAGTTAAACTACGTTAAAAAGTTTAGGAATTTTTTGTTTTCTCTCATGCTCACCAAAGCTGTATTTATTTGATTGAATACAGTAAATATAGTAATATTGTGAAAAATGTGAAGATATTTTAAATTTTAATTTAATCCTGTGATGCTGATTTGGTGCTCAAGAAACATTTCTAATTATTGTCAATGTTGACAACAGCTGAAAACATGAAAACACTGATCAATTTAAAGGGATATAGTTCACCTAAAAATGAAAAGTCGCAGAAATTTTTTTTTTATAAATAAATAAATATTTTTCATTTTTGGGTGGGAAAAAAATATATTTATGGTGGTGCATGTTAGTCCACAAGTTAAATTTATAGCAAACCATCCTGGATCAGCATGGAAATGCATGCTTGTCTAAGCTGTTAGCGGGGCGGTTATCTGACCTAACATTCACCTCAGTTAAATGATCTTTTGTAATTGCCTTAAAGTACCATATTATTTAAAAGCCTCTCTCGTGAACCTAAAGAAGTTCTGTAGCTTCTGCCTGTCGTGCCTGTCGTGCCTGTGGGAACAATTCTGTCTGTGACTAACACGAACGGCCCTGTTATTAGTGTTTGACATGAGAGCCTTTGTAGTTAAACAGTGTTGTACCTCCCCGCTTTGAGCTTAAAGATGAGTCCAAGTGACAGCTGTTGGTAAATTGTCGAAACGCACCACACTCAGGAAATCCTGTTTGATATTTCCCATCGTACTCATACAGGTAGTTAAACACACTCATCAGCAAATGCATGCAAGAGCCACCTGCTCAGTTCTCTAGAGTTGTTCAGTGACAAATCAGCCCTAAAAGCATGTCTGAACTCAGAGAGAACAGCTCACGCTCGGGTCAAGAGTGGACTGTACAAAGCCACGAGCTCAGAAGAGTGCAGAAATAGATGCTAGTTTGACGACCACACAACAAAGCAGGATTTGTATGGGAGCGAATTTCTAAGTGCTGCTTTTGTGTGAGATGAGGGGTTGTCACAATATTCTTACAGCAGTGGAACTGAAGCATCATGCCTCAGTGACTCAGAATATAAAGGTCAGTGTATTTCACAGCATAACTGTCATCGTAAGTGCTGATTCAGATGGCATGTATATGGATGTTTGTGAGTAATCAAGTGTTTTTTTGCTATAAAGCAAAATGTCCCAGTGGAGGATGTGCTATATGAATGCTGCTTTCATACAGATGGTACTACATTAACTTTATAAAGTCAGTTTTAGACATTCGTTTTTACACAGAGAAATATATTATATAGAAATATATAGTATCTTTGACAAATATACTACTGTTCAAAGGTTGGGGTCTGAAGATTTTTAAAAATGTTTTTAAATGAAGTCTCTTCTGCTCACCAAGGCTGCATTTATTTGATTAAAAAACAACAAAAATAATAATAATAGCTATGTGTATAAAATAGCCATTGTTATGTATTTTTATGTATTTATTATTATTATTTATTATTTATTTATTTTTGTTAATAAAGGTACTTGAATGCTGGAAGTAAGTTAAAAATATGTTTTATGGAAGCTTTGTTTTCCAAAATAACGTGACGGTTTTGGCATCTCAGTGGCTTTTAATGCTTGTTGCACTGCTTGACTTGTTTCCCGCTTTTTCTTTACTTGTGACGGGACGCGGGAATGTTTTTGGACAGACCCGCTCCAAACAGCAAACAACACATGACTCCTTTCAGACCCATTCAGAGGTTTAATTTAGGCTCCCTCGGGGTCTCCCTCCTCCTGCCCCAGTGAAGGGGCTTTTCTGTGATGTCAGACGGGAGAATTTGAGCATTGTTGGTGCTGAATAACTTGAATAAGGCACAATGGAGTGGACTTGAATAGAGTGCGGAGCCGCCGGAGAGACGTGAACGTCGTCAAGCCTAGTTGTTTGAAACTTTTTTGTATGGAAGGATTTATAAACGAGCTTTCTTTTCTCGTGTTGACAGATCTACACGGACTGGGCGAATCACTACTTGGCCAAATCGGGACACAAGCGGCTGATTAAAGACCTGCAGCAGGACGTGAGCGACGGCGTGCTGCTGGCTGAGATCATCCAGGTCATAGGTGAGCGATTCACTGACACTAAAACAGACAAAAAGAGTCGATCAAAGATTTTCTGTGCAAGGTGTTCGCATCAAATTACATTTACAAAAGCGATTTAGATATATGCATAGAAAGAATATTAAATGCAAGTAAAGGGTCTGCTCTGATGTTTCAAATAACTTTAGTGAAAATGAAATGTCAAAATATGGGTGAAAAATTTCCATCGTCCTTCAGCAAAACAGATATTTATGTTATTAAAAAATGTAAAAGAAAAAAGTGATTGTACTACATTTTATTGTATTTTAAAAGATTAAAAGCTTCTTGCTGACAAATGGTAAAGCTGCTTATTTATTCATTCATTCATTTAGGTCATCGTTGTGTGCTCAATTCATGAATTTATTAAGCATAACTGTCATCGTAAGTGCTGATTCAGATGGCATGTATATGGATGTTTGTGAGTAATCAAGTGTTTTTTTGCTATAAAGCAAAATGTCCCAGTGGAGGATGTGCTATATGAATGCTGCTTTCATACAGATGGTACTACATTAACTTTATAAAGTCAGTTTTAGACATTCGTTTTTACACAGAGAAATATATTATATAGAAATATATAGTATCTTTGACAAATATACTACTGTTCAAAGGTTGGGGTCTGAAGATTTTTAAAAATGTTTTTAAATGAAGTCTCTTCTGCTCACCAAGGCTGCATTTATTTGATTAAAAAGACAGTAAAAACAGTAATATTGTGAAAAATTATTACCATTTAAAATAACTGTTTTCTATTGTAATATATTAAAAAATTTAATTTATTCCTGTGATGACAGTTGAATTTTCAGCATCATTACTCCAGTCATCAGTGTCACATGATCCTTCAGAAATCATTGCAATATGCTGATTTGCTATTAGCTAATTTTTTTTTTATTTAATAATTAATTTTACTGTTTTCAATGTTGAAATCAGTTGTGCTGCTTAATATTTTTGTGGAAACAGTTTTTTTTTGTGAGAATGTTTAATGGATAGAAACTTAAAAATAACAGTAATTATTTTAAATAGAAATCTTTTGTAACATTATAAATGTCTTTACTGTAATAAAAAAAAAAAATCAATTTAATGCATCCTTGCTGAATGAAAGTATTCAGTTCATTAACTTTACGAAAAGAAAGGCATAGTACTTTCGACAAATATATCAGTTAAATCACAATAAATATATCAGTTAAATCACAACAAGTCATATCAGTAGCCAAGAAAAGCTGTTTAATAATTACTGTACTTTGAGCTGAACAAATACTTTTTAGTGTACTTTAAATACTGTTTTACCATAATTCTATATACATGCCAAAATCATATCAGCCAGTCCGACTAAATAAATAAATAACATTCTTACTGCACCTTCAAAGCATTGTTACAAATGTTGATATGATCATATTGACTTAAAGGAATACTGAACTGATGAGCTAAAGGTAATACTGGTACTAAATTTGTATACTGACCAACATTTCTTTTGACATGCATAGCTATTTTAGTGTTTACATGATGGTGAGCAGGTTCAGTCTGACAGACAAGTGTCATCTGTAATTGCAGCGTTACTTCTATCTTTTGTTGCTTGAAGGCATGTTTACCCTTACCTTCATTTCACTGTCTTCACCTCACCTTTAATTGCATCTGACTCATTTAGCCCATAAACCTTCAAAGCATGAGTTGGATTTGTGCATTTCTCCACTGACTTTGGTCATTGCTCTGCGTAATTATATGGGCTTTGTGTGCTGTTTTAAGTCTAACGATTGAGGGAGAGCGCGTGTTTATTTTGATGGTACAGTGCACCTGTTTTTCCCATCTAGAAAACGGATTCCTCACATGAGTAACACTGCAATAATACACTTAGGCTTTATTTACTCATGAAACACACAACACAAGCTGTCCAACACCCATGTGGGAATGTGTTTGACTGCTGCCTGGCCTTGTGTGTGTAAATCCTGCACCACATCCAATAAAAAAATAAAATAAAATAATAACCCTTTTATTATGGTCTTTATGCAAAGTTATATAGGCTATTATTTTAAGTCAAATGGGAAAATACCATGGTATTTACATGTAAGTTCAAAGAATATCATGGTATATGTAACAAAAACAACAAAAATAATAATAATAGCTATGTGTATAAAATAGCCATTGTTATGTATTTTTATGTATTTATTATTATTATTTATTATTTATTTATTTTTGTTAATAAAGGTACTTGAATGCTGGAAGTAAGTTAAAAATATGTTTTATGGAAGCTTTGTTTTCCAAAATAATGTGACGGTTTTGGCATCTCAGTGGCTTTTAATGCTTGTTGCACTGCTTGACTTGTTTCCCGCTTTTTCTTTACTTGTGACGGGACGCGGGAATGTTTTTGGACAGACCCGCTCCAAACAGCAAACAACACATGACTCCTTTCAGACCCATTCAGAGGTTTAATTTAGGCTCCCTCGGGGTCTCCCTCCTCCTGCCCCAGAGAAGGGGCTTTTCTGTGATGTCAGACGGGAGAATTTGAGCATTGTTGGTGCTGAATAACTTGAATAAGGCACAATGGAGTGGACTTGAATAGAGTGCGGAGCCGCCGGAGAGACGTGAACGTCGTCAAGCCTAGTTGTTTGAAACTTTTTTGTATGGAAGGATTTATAAACGAGCTTTCTTTTCTGAGGTAGCTACAGTTAGAAGAAAAGAATCTGAAGATCTGAGAGTCCTTCTGGGTTCATATACTGTAAGCATTTTTGAAAGATGGTCTGGAGCAAATCTGTGCAATGCCTTATAAACTAATAAACGATTTTTAAAATCTATACGAAAACTAACAGGTAAGCAGTGTAATGACTTTAATACAGGTGCAATGCGACCTCTCTTTTTGGCTTTTGTCAATATTCGAGCAGCAGTATTTTGGATTGATTGTAGTTGATTAATTTTGTTCATTGGTAGACCCAAAAGCCTGCTAGTTATAAATGCATGCATTCATTTTTCTGTATTGCTCAGAGAGAGAAATGGTCTTACTTTAGCAATGTTCTTCAGATGATAGAATGCAGTTTTTGTAATATTACGTACATGAGCTTTAAAGTTAAAATCTGAATCAAAGACAACTCCAAAAGTTTTTTTTGCCACTTGGCTTGGGTTTAATCCTTGTATATTTAGTTCAGGGGTCAATTTCTTTCTCTGTGCTTTTGATCCAGTAATCAAAACTTCAGTTTTATCTTGGTTAAGTTGTAAGAAATTTATGTCCTAAATGCAATTTGCAAGTTAATCAAGTTGAACAGGATCATCAGGAGCCATGGCTTCAAACATCAATAATATTGCATTAATATTACATAATCTATTTATATTTAAACAGTTCTCTTGAATTAAAAACCTGAATTTATTAGACTCAAATTTAATTAATTATATTAGAAAAACTTTTAAACTACTTTTACTATTGTAAATGATGATATTTTGTTTAATTTATTTATTTATTCATTCATTCATTGTAACTTTGTATGTTTCAAAACAGTCTGAATTAGCAATGCTATTTTGTACACTAATATTATTAGATGCTAATATTTTAACAGTGATCATTCTGTTATGGCAGACTATTAATTAGCTCAAGGGTATGTGACCTCTTTGTAGCTGCACCCAATTGCAATTTAATGTTTTAATAGTATTTACGTACTTTCGAGTGCCTAGTAAGAAAATCGATCCCAGTCAGCAGCTCTTCCCATGGACATACAAAAATAGAGTTTTTCATTACCTCTGTCCTCTTAAAAGTGTTGTAAGAGCCGGAAAGCATTTGGTTACTTAAGAGCTGAAAGTACAGTGTTCTGGGGTGAAGTGGTGTTAAATGACTCATCATTGTGGTCATCCCACTTTGTCCTCTTGTGTTTTCTACATCTCAAGGGAATCAAACACAGGTCAATTGAAGCTGAAACCCGACCTGCCCTGTCTGACAGACACAAATGCTGCATGCAACCAATGCCATACTTGACATTTTTATTTATTTATATTAATGAGAGAAGATGGCTTTTGCCCTAAAGTTTTAAAAGTAAATTTTGAAATAAGAAAATGCTTGAAATGGTGACAATAAGGACACGTAGAGCTTACACCAACTTACAGGGTCCCCAAAAAGTGACCTTTGTACTGATAAAATAATGATTAAGTAACAAATGATGTGGTAAATTGTAGTCTAAAATTATAATAATATCTCAAATGTTTGAATTTGTTTGCAGATGCCACGTTGATATTTTTGATATCTAATGCAGTGCAATTAATGCATTCTTATTTGTGGCTTAAGTATTTTGTATAAACAATAATTCAATTTTGGAAGCTTGTTTCTGCCATGGAATAAAAAAATGTAATTATGACTTTTTATCTTACAATTCTGACTTTTTTTCTCACAATAGTGAGTTAATGCCTCACAATTGCAAGTTAAAAACTCATAATTGTGAGTTTACATCTCACAATTTTAACTTTTTTTTTTTCATTGAAGTTTGCATCTTTTTTTTCTCCACAGAATAAAAATAAAAAGTTAATTGTGTCTTTTTTTTCTCACGATTCTGACTTTATATATATATATATTTTTTTATTTATTTATTTATTTATTTATTTTTTTCTCCTTCTTTTTTTTCCCCTTTCTTGTGACTTTCTGAATTGCAAGAAAAAAGTCAGAATTGTGAGATAAAAGTTGCAGTTACCTTTTTTATTTTTTTTATTCCATGGTGGAAATGGGCTTCCATATGAAATAACATTATAAAATAATAATTAAATCACAAATTATTTAGAAGACCTACCAAATGGTTCTCCGGTAGTCCGAGAGCCCCTCCGTTGAGACAGCCTGTCTCAGATGTGTCTGTTCTCCATGCTTACTCACCTGACATCTTACACATTCCTGACACATTTTTCCCACAGCGCAGGCGGTAAAGTGATTCCTGCAGGCATCAGGCATGAGGCATGTAGCTGTCATTGTAGCCGTGTGTGCAGTTGTCAGCTGTGAGTGAACGGCCCTGTTTCAGCTGCCGTGGGGAGGGGGATGGGGCTGGGCTCGCCGGGATGCAGGGTAGAGAGCAGTCACCCTCAGGAAAGCCCCAAAGTAGTCACATCCCAGCAGGCCCTGCCACACAGTTGCTCAAACTGGATAAAGTTTCCACATTTGGGGTCAAAAATCTGTCTGGCACAGAAACAGAAAGGACATACTGCACATCAGGCTTACAATTAAGGAAATCTCTGACTTATTTTCTTTTTTAGCAATTAATTTGTCTGAAATCTCTCTCTTTTTGGATTTCACAGCAAATGAGAAGATTGAGGACATTAATGGATGCCCTAAGAGTCGTTCTCAAATGGTAAGAACTTCTGTCTTCTGGTTGTTGTTTTTTTTACTGCCGGTGTAATTTTATAATGACTTTAATGCACTTTTGTGCATTAAATGACAATGTTAGATCTGTCCAGGGCAACACTACACTCAGAAAAAAAGGTACAAAATGTATTTAATATGTCCACTTTAGGTACTAATATGTACTTTTAAAGTTCTTGTATGTACTTTTAAGGTATTAATATGTACCATTTAGGGGTAAATAAGGTACAATAAGTACAATAAGATGTACCTTTTAGTATTTCTACCTTAGGATACCGCCCCAGTGACAGCTTTGTACCTTTTTTTTTCTGAGAGTGTAATACATTAGATTCTCACTGATGTTGCCCGCAGGCTTATAGACATGAATATATCTATTTTTTTTTAAATAGCAAAGATGAATTTCAGAAATCATTCTAATATGCTGATTTTGTGCTCAAGAAACATTTCTTATTATTATCAATGTTGTTTCTTTATATTTTTGTGGAGCCCGTGATAGATTAATTAATTCATTCATTCATTCATTCCCAAATTAGAAATCTTTTGTAACATTATAAATGTCTTCACTGTAGCTTTTTATCAGTTTAAGTATAAATTGTATTAATATTAATTTCTTTCCCAAATAAATAAATAACTGACCCCAGACTTTTGAAAGGTAGTGTAACATCATTAAAAGGAGCGTTTACACAGTAATGGCATCTCATGCTTTTTAGATGTGGCATCCCATAACCATATATTAAATAACAATACTAAACAAACAAAAATATTGTAACACATTTAATTAATGTTTTTGTTTATATTTTATAAAAAAACAAAAACCACTGATTACAATAACATAATGTGTATCTTTAATTACATAAAAAAGTAATGACTTGCAGTTCAATAAGTGAGTCAGAATAATCCGGTTACCACTCTGAATCAAGAGTTTTGATTCACAATAACCAACTCATGAGAGTCATTCATTCAGGAATTGGGCTTCAGTGGTTGCATTGCATGTTTTTGATTCACTAAAAAGAACTGACTCATAAGAGTCATTCATTTAATGCTTCGACCAGCTTCACAAAGAAAGTTTTGCTGGTAAACCGCATGACTATGCTGGTCTTTTCAGATGTGAGAGGTAGATTAGGGGTTTGGGGTTAAGTTGAATGGCAGGGGTCTAATTGTCCAACAACAGGAGCTGATCTCTTTTACCCGTCTCTCTCATTGCTATCTCTCACTGACTTCCTCTTTCTTTGGCTCCATCAATTAGCTCCGTCCCCTTAGCAGCAAATTGCACCGTAATTTATTACTTTTAGACACACACAGCCTTTGTGTTCCCTTTTTCTTTCTCTTTTCCTTTTCTTTTCTCTCATTCTGTAGCTGCATGAATACTCACATCTTTTGAATTCTGTAACTCAGCCGGTGGTAACTGTACGGGCATGTGCATATATGCATGTCTTTTTGTACATCCCAGCAGGCATTCTGTATTTATGCATCTGAATGCAGTTTTCCTGTATGTGAGTCACCCTAAAGCTGTTTAAATTCCAGCGTGTGTATTTGTTTGTGTGCGTGTTTGTGTGTCTTTAGCGAGGAAGCAAAGCACTGCTGGAAGCAGGTGCAAGCAAAGCCATTATGTAAATATCATCATTGTGTGTTTTTATCAAGAGTGGGAATTGCACAATTGCTCAGTGAATGGGCCTCTAGCAACAGCTTACACTGGATATACAAGCACTCGGGTTGATTAGCATAAATTGGGCAGAGTAATATCGCTGCGACCGCTAATTGCTGACATGATACTTAACCTCAGCATTCAGATAGTTAAATATGTAAACACATTAAGCTAATCAATGCAGGGGTTTTGGCTCATATTGTAAACCGAGGAGTGGAATTTGAATGCGTTTCTCAAAATAGCTTTGGAGGATCATAATATTGATGCATAATATAATATGCTACGCATATGATGAATTTTATTGAACGGTTTTAAGTGCTCAGCATGAAATGCGGTGCACAACCCATTTTACTTCCAAAAAGGGGATCTAAAAATATGACGCATAAAAAAAAATAATAATCAGGAATGGGCATTATATATAAAGTGGTGGAGCAATTCATTACAGTTTGATTAAAGACTATGAAGACAAACAATTAAAAAAAAAATTATAATAATAACATGCACTTAAGAATATCATGCACATTAAGACCAGGAAGATGTATTAGAAACAAAGTGTAGTGTTTTTTTCTCTCTCTTTTCTTTTTTAATGTTTTTTAATGTCTCTTATGCTCACTCCAACTGCGTTTGTTTGATCAAAGATATGGTAAAAAAAAGTTTTTTTTTCATTTAAAATAACTGTTTTCTATATTAATATATTTTGAAATGTAGTTTATAGGCCTATATGTTGTGGCAAAGCTGAATTTTAACCCATTACTCCAGTTTTCAGCATCACATGATCATTCAGAAATCATTCTAATATGCTGATATGGTGATTTAAAAAAAAAAAAAAAATCTTTTTGTGGAAACCATGATACATTTTTTTGATGAAAGGATTGTTTGATGAAATATTTTTGAAAACTTTTGTAACAATGTAAAAGTGAAAATTCTTGGCCGAAGCCGAAACCGAACAAAATGAAATACTGGGCCGAAGGCCGAATACCGAACAAGGTTTTTCGAGTTTTTTTTTCCCCCATGTATTTTGCCAATTTTTTTCACCACTTGTAGGGATGCACCGAAATGAAAATTCTTCGCCGAAGCCGAAACCGACAAAATTAAATACTGGGCCGAAGGCCGAATACCGAACAAGGTTTTTCGAGTTTTTTTCCCCCCACCATGTATTTTGCCAATTTTTTTCACCACTGCACAAATTAAATAGCCAAAATGTGCTTTTTACTGTTTTGTCTTGCTTTTCAAAGAAAAAATCTATTAAAAAACAACAATTTAAAAGTATTTAACACTGAACATTTTTTAACATTCTAGCAGACATAGTTATACCAACAAAGCACCATTTAACTTAAAATTAATAAGTTAGTCAAATAAAAATGTTTTGGCCCTCAGACCCCCTTCTTGAATCAGGCATGTATTTTTAACTGTACAATTAAAAGCAGCCTTGCTGAGCAGAAGAACCTTCTTTTAAAACATTAGAAAATATTACAGATCCCAATTTGAACACTATGTGTGAATGTTATAATAAGTATAAAAACAGAGCTGTTGTAATTATTATTATTATTATTATCTTACTTTTTATTTTATTTTACAGAACAACAGTAAAATTACGATACTAAAATTTACGATTGTTTATGGAGTTATTGCTTTTTCTCAACTTTTATTTTGGCAGAAACGCGCAGGAAGACAACAGCAGATTTATAAATGAGTCTCATTACGAATAAGTCGCACGTATCGCATTGTCACGTGCCTTGTAAAAAAAAAATCATAAAAATGTGACTGAGCAACTGAGTACACTGTTACAGCGCAGATTTCCCTCGCGGTTTGGACTTTGAACCCTGGCTAACGAGCAGATCTGCTGCGAGTTCATGCAGCGCTGTGAGAATGCAATGCGTGGGTGTATTAGAAAACCTGACGTTCTGCAGTTTATTTACTAACTGTTTAAGGCCATTTCGCGATTTCAATTATCATACAGTAACCAGCAACAATCACCCCTTCCTCTTCTAATCGAAGACATGCGATGCAGTACTAACAGTCTCTCGCTGTCGGTGCTTGTAATGATTTTTGCGTCTTTCTCCGACAGTTTGAAATGCTTCCACACTGCTGACATGTTTGTTGCATTGCGCCTCTCACGCTACACTGGTTGCTATTTGATCGCGTCACTTCATTGTTCGGTACAGTTTATTTGTTTTTTTTTTCGCTTATTCGGCCGAACACCGAAAGAGCTTTTTTTGCTATTTTCGGCCGAATAATTTCAGTTACCGAACATTTGGTGCATCCCTAATGTGGAGTGTTAGTTTCTACTGAAACAATATAAGTGTTACCCCTGGATATTTTGTGTTCATTTGATAGCTGTTTCATCAGTCATTCACCTTTGGGACTGTTTTTACACCTGCTCGTTCCATCTGATCCCTTTCAGATAATCTCCTCCTCCCCTTTAACCCACCAGCAGTGCAGACAAAGCAAAGCACAAGATATGCAGCATTTATGTCAGTGGCTGTTGACACTGCTGCTAAAACACACAGGAAATCTCAGTGTCGTAACTCAAATTCACCTCCCTAGTGGTGTGTATTGACACAAAGATGGTAGCTTCAGCTGAGTCATTCTCTGAAGTTAGCGAAGCAGCTAGCATGACTTATAGCACCTTAAAGTCATTTACTCTGTCACAAAAGATCATAATCATAATCATTGCAATGATCATATTGACAGGATGTTTGTCTGTCTTTGTTTTTCACCTCATCTAGTTAATATGGTTTCCCAGAAACTTATAGTTACAATATATAGCATTAACCACTTTCCTGAACACTCTTGTCTTTTGTTTTGTTAGTTAAGGGGGAAAATTATAAGGGGAATGATTGGCATGTTAATCTAATTTGGTTGTCTGTCGATCATCATGGGAGGTTTTTTTTTGTGTGTGTGTGATTTGTGCTCATGATGTGGAAGGAATCAAAACACGGGCCACATTCTTCTGTAGAGGCGTCCATCTCTGCCTGTGTTTTCCTCCTCTTCTTTTAAACGCTCGTTGTTCTTGAATTTTTTTGCTGTAATTTTAATGAAACCTGGAGTAGATAAGTGGTGAAAGTCAAGTTGGACGAGATTCATTGTTTTTGTTGAGTAAGTGTGAGTGCGCATTACTGTTCAAAAGTTTGAGGTCAGTAAGAATTCAGCTTTGCAATCTCAGGAATAAATAACATTTTAAAATATATTCCACACTGAAAAATGTTTTCATTCATCCAGTTAAAACAATTTAGGGTAATGGTTGACATCTATATTTTATAACTTGAGCCAATGAAAAATAAATAACTTGCCCTAAACAATATTTTCTATGTCTAAGAAAACTATTTATATTTTATAAAAAC